AGACGTTGGAGTTTCCCTAGAGCGAAAGCTGAGAGGGACGTGCTATAGGCCACACTTCCATATAATAGGTCGGGCATCACAACGGATTTTAGGTATTGGACCCTGGCCTTCTGGGAAAGGGATCGCCGGGCTCGCCACAATGCTCCGACTTTCCTGTTCACCTTCGCTGTAACATCGTGGATATGAGGGTCCCAGGTCAGTTGCTCGGTGATGGTTAAACCCAAGTACTTGGCCGCAGTACAAGCAGGTAAGCGGGTCTGATGGCAATTTACAGCGATACTGGTTTGCGCATCCCTCCCACAGATGGACAGAACTTGACTTTTGCGTTCATTCAATATCAGGCCGCGGTTTTCGAGCCAGTCGGCCAGCGCAGTGACGGATGACGAGAGTCCCAGTGAAATAGTTGCCGCGTTGGAACCACTTTGGTACAGTGCAATATCGTCAGCAAATTGTATGCTAGGGGTCGGGTGAGCTACTGCAGCTACCGCTCGGGTGTATATATTGAACAAAATGGGCCCCAATACAGATCCCTGGGGTACTCCACTTGTGCATACTGTGATGTTGCTCAGTTCGCTACCGATGCGGACTTGTTGTGTCCGGTTTGTAAGGTAGCTAACGAGCCATTTCATCACCGTACCGCCAACTCCAATTTCAAAGCAGTCCTGGATCATAATTGCATGCCGCACTTTGTCGAAGGCCTTCGACATGTCAAGGAAGCACACTCCAGAGGAGTCCTTCTTGTCGCGAGCCATTTGCAGCTGATCAACCAGTAAGGCTAGTGCATCACCCGTCGAGTGCTGCCGGCGAAATGCAAACTGAGTTTCCGGGATAGCGTCGGTGTGGTCGAGGTGCCGTACAAGCTGCCGCTGGACCAGCTTTTCCAGCAACTTTGACAAAATCGGAAGTAGCGACACTGGCCTATAGTTTGTCTGTCTTTGGATCAATAACTGACAATAAGCCCTTTAAGGTTGCATTTGTTCCGTCATTCCCGAATGGACATGGACTGCAGTAGGTACCCATCCCGGAATCGGAATGAGCGTAGCAAACAAACGCGCTGGCATGCATTCGGGAATCTGGCAAAGGTTTTGCGCAACTCTGGGAACGACGGTGGAATGTTTTTTTTGTGAGTATGAGTATTACCTGTTAAGTTGTTTGTAGCCTTGCGAACACTCAGTGACTGCATGCCAATCCGGGTACATGTAGTCGCTATTTTGCTTCCGTAGGTTTCTGCATGTCCATACGACAGTGATGATGACGGAGTGGCCAAACACGGGGTAGATCTGCGAGCGCTCGTAACTAAATTGTAGGTTGCCTGCGGGCGGCGTTTGGCCGCTACTTCATCATGATTATTAATTTGCTATTCGACCTCGTATCAGTCACAGAAACATCTCCAGCTCTCGTTCTCATTTGACAGAGAAGAGGCACTGATGTAAGAAGAAGTGAAGTAGCAGGCTCAGTGCCTCTTTGGGTAAATATGTGCTGTGGATAGTCGATGAGGAGCCGAGGTGCGAGGGCATATTTCCAGTTCTTGTGTCGGGCAAACGCTTTCTCAGGCACCGAAGGGTCAATATACCACGAACAAGCTCTATTGCCGAGGATACAGTACCAGCCTATACCCTGGACGATGTCCGCCAACATTTCCGTATGTCGATAATCATGATAATCGCGTTTGAAGTTTTTGTTGGCGGAGGTTTGCAACAGCGACGAAGCGGCTCAAGCTCCCATGACTTCCGCGTATTTTCATTCCACTAGGCTCATTCCTCTTTTTTCTAAGGAATCGCCAGAATCGATTCTGCGCCATTCATTCCCCGACCGGAATCGGAATTTCAAAATACACAATACATAGACCAGTGTGACGCCAGGTATGGATCGTCAGTTGTCAGCTACGAAAAAACGCAGCGCTCTACGGTGAATATTACGAAAATACCAGGGATTTTAGTAAATTGTCTAAAAGTTCCGTTTTGTATGTCTTCCCAGGACTACAGTACGAGCTCGTACCAGTGTATTTGCACTCGGTTGAAATATGCACAGGTGTGTTCCTCTTGGCAAGAGCTTTCCAGAAAGCCTAAAATTGTCAATATTCACTGGTTTGAGCCGGAGAAGGAAACAAACGGGAAAGGTTTGAAGAAAAATTTGACTGTCACGACCAAGACTCGAACCAGGACCTTCGCTTGAGGCCAGCGATACAATAATGGAACCTTAGTATTATTAAAATTCGCAGACAATGTCAATAAACATTTTAAAAACATCCTGGAAATAATTAATTGGAAATTACATGTATATCTTGCCTTGTGATGGGAAGTTTCGCTTGTTAATAAAAATGCATAATAATTATTATACATGTACTGTATCTGGCATTTGACAGCAGAAATGCACAAAATGTAGAGCCGACCCCTCCCCCCCCCTAGGCACCGGCGGATTATGCCGGCATAATTATTGGCATAATTTGGTGGTTGAAAATTTGGAGCATAATTTGGCATCCTTTTGGAGGTAGGAGCATAACTACATGATTGTACCACAGTTCTAGTATGTAGGCTACACAATTATGTACAATGCACCTGATCAGTGCTGGTAGTCTGCATAGTAAAGGGCTCGGAGGTCATGCAGATAGTGTTTTCAATGAAAAGCAGGGTAGAAATCATTGCAACACAGTATGCTCAAACTCGTCTTCGTCAAAGTAACGAGTTACGTTCTTTCTCACACTGATCATCATCATACAGTACATGTAGCAGAAGATGCGAGTGAATCAGCCTTTATCAGGTATCCTGGGGCAGACGAGATAGTGACGGGTAGTCCGCAAAACTTCGCGTACATGTACATGTAGAGTCTACATTTTGCATGTTACGAAGTCATAATAATTATGACCTCTCGATTTTGGCAGGCATGACTGTGCAGGCTATGGATATTGCTCTAATAAAAAATGAGGTATAGTTGATGTTCGGTCATGTTGGAAGGAGTGGTGGAGCTACGGGAGAGATGAGCTGATTACTCGCAGGGTGAGGGTAACATCGGTTAGACGAGTATGACGATTACGAAGACAGTTCCTGAACATGATAATTTCAAAGGTAACTCAAACTAATTTGGCAATGAAGAAGTAATGTTTTCTCTTTTCCATGTTGATCTCTAGCATGCATGGATACCTTGGTATGGGGATACTCATGTGTTACGTTGTACTTATGGCCACTTGCAAGTACGAAAAGGCACAATTTTCCGAACTTTGAGGCTCCATAAGTACAACAGCGTGAATATGTATCCCCGCGTGCCACAGCATAATAATTATGAGGATTTTGCGAGCATATTGCGAGAATCCATGAAAGCATAATTCCATGATCTCGCGAGCATAATCCGCCGGAGTCTACCCCCCCCCCCCCCTCTCACCACAATCCTGGATACGCCACTGCAGCTAGTGCAGGTGTATGATGATTTTTTTATTTCCTGTTGTGTGTCGTGCACGGTATAGCCCTTTCCCAAAGATGCCATAATTTTTCGCAACTTAAGCCTAGTTCACATTCGACGGGGTGCGATGTAAGGATCGTCTGATGGCGTCCAATGTGAGCACCAGGAACGGGAACGCAACCGTACTACCGTACGGATCGGGAAGCGACGGGAAGACGGGGACGGGGACGCAAGCGTACACAACGGCTGAAATTCGAGTGTGAACAGGAGACGGTGTCGTGCGCGGACTACTCCTGATTTGTTACTTGGGAATTTTTAGCATTTCGAACACTGCGCTTCCCATGATAACTCGCAGAATGGCAAGCACGACTTGAATTGAATTTTAGCATGATAAGATGTCTTGTCACTTATTGTATTTAGGGATAGTTCAGGAGCGTTACAGACGAACTATCATTTCCTGGGGCTCCTACTTGAATGCCACAACTTTCAGGGCTAATTTTTAAATCTTCATGACAAGCAGGTATTGTGAACTTGATTCCGTTTCTTTCAAAGAGAAATAATTGAAAAGAAGTCCCGAAAAACGAAAAATTTGGTCAGAAAGTCACCCTGTCACCGACTCGCGCCGTTCGACGTTGAACACCGCGACGACTGCTGCATGTCGTGTCGTACGGATACGTCCCGTACAGTCAGCGTTGCGTCGAATGAGAAGTTTTTTTTTTTTTTTTTTTTTTTTTTTTTTTAAGTAGTAAAAGTCGAATGAGAAGTACACTACCGTAAAAGTCCGCAAATAAGTACCTGCCCGAAAGAAATAATCCCCTTCATTCTTTTGGCTCTGTCTGTTAAAGTCAAGTCAAGCCCGATAAGCACACTGCCCGGAATAAGTACCGGTACGGTGCGCACATGCAGCACGTACAATGCACATCGACATGAAAATGACTTCTCCACTACACACGAGTCAGGTCCGAAAGTCAGTTCGTGCCCGAAAGTCAGTACCCACCTGAAAGTTAGTACGGGTGTGGTCCCTAAATTCGAAAGTAAATACGTACTTATTTACGGACTTTTGCGGTAGTACAGTAGGCTTAACATCGCCAATTAAGCTGAAAAGGCTGCATGCTCATACTCCGCAGTAGCCAATCCTAAACTACAAGAGCTCCACTGAACTTCACAACACCATATACAATGTACTATACCACTGAGGATTGCAAAGACCAACTGACAATTCTCCATTTAATACTAACCAAATCTCATTTGGCTCTGTGGTGCTACTAGTCGCATCCATATTCGAGACTCAGTCAGGGAGGCGGGAATATCACTTTGCTCATAATCCAGCTCCGCAATTATTTCGCGGGTGGTAGTGCTGGATATGTGCGCACAGACGCAGTAGCCAGCTTGAGCTTGTTCCGCTCTTCAAGGGGAGAGCTTTCCAGCACGCCCCACATTGTGCAGAACAGGTGATAAGAACCAAAATTATGCCCAAGCAAGATAATTATTACATGTCCTGTACTCATGTAAGTTTAAAGGTTCAAGCCGATGATCCACTGATTGGAAAAGCATGACACCATCACGATCAAAGTAGCCATGCAATCCTGCGGGGCAAATACATGTAGACCAGTCCATATATGTACCGTACTATGATGAATATAATAATATTATTATAATAATCTTCAAGAACAAAGTGAACTAAACTTATACTAGAGAAACTGAATGTGTGTGTGTGCTATGTCACATACACATAATGCTACTGCGAGCAGTTCGAGGGGCCACTGTGCAGTCATTTGCAGCGTGTACTAAAGCAACAAGTGAGGTTCCACAAACCGGACGATAACGCGGGGGTCATATAACTACCTAAAGCACTTGGCGGCCTAAAAATCGCTGGTGGCAAATGCTGCCACAAAACAGGCGTCAAGCTCTGGCCATGGAAATCAAGAAAAAAGAATGTTGCTCTAAATTCAGGCGTACTTGTGCACACATAGAGAATATTTCATCTGTAATGTCTCAAATAAAAGGGGTTTGTCAGCTGACATGTAATGTCTCAGTCGGTATGAAATGAATGCAGATCAAGAGGAGATAAACCGGCATCAGAATGACCAGGGAATTAGTGTGCGGGAGTAGTTGTTCCGAAGCTTTTCACGGATCCATGCACACATGCCTAGATTGTTAGGAATAGATATGCAAACGTTTCTAGCACAATCCTGAGAACATGGAGTTCTGGATGTGTGTGTGCGTGTACATGTGTGTGCATGTGTGCGCGTATGTGTGTGTGTGTGTGTGTGTTTGTGTGTGCGTATGTGTACGTGTGTAAGAGTGAGATCATGCAGAGAGAACTACTTTGTACAATGCTCCTTTACGGACTATTCTAAGCGCTAACATTAGTCGGGAGAGAGAGAGAGAGAGAGAGACCGTGTGGCGCAAAGAATGGCGACACAATGGCAGATGGGCAGCCCAGTTATCGCCGTAGCCAAGAGCCAATCCTTCCTCTTGGTTGACTGGTTACAGACTCCCAGCATAGCTGCCTGACGTCTCCCGGCGTAAAGACTACCAAACGGCCATACACATCGCAGGGACAGCCGTTGAAGAGGTCGGTGCTTGGAACTGGTTGCCAACTGCGAGAAACTGGTGACAGCATGAACACACTATGATCCTGACTTGGACTGCCTCCATACTCCTCTTTAAAGCAAACCAAATAGCCCCTGAAAACTTGTAGACGGCACAGCCAGAATGGATGATGGGGCAATACACTCCGTGACCAGGTACGAGACTCCGCAGGCTGCATGATAGGTGCCGAGAAGACTTCCTGTGCAGCAGCCGGCTGGTTCGGATCACCTCCGAACACGTGTAGATGACCATCGTAGGCGACGCTTGACAGTAACCGGAGCATCCTATCAGGTGCAGGAAAGTCTGGCCAATCAATCCATTCCTGGTTTCCTTCAATCGTCATATCAAAGGAAGTGACGACTGGTCGAACGGGCTTGAATGAAGATTTGTCGGTAGAGCCTCCGATGATGATCAGTTGGTTGCCAATGGAAACCGAGCGAAATCCGAAGCGAACATCTGGGAACTGTACAACTTCCTGCCATTCCCCATCTTCCAGTACCTTGTAAACAATACATGGTGCGGCTTTATAAATGATGATGCAGTACAGGCTATCCTTTTGCTCTATGAAGCGGAATCCAAAAGCGGTACTCCGATGAACTCGGAAGATGTGCGTGAGGTTGACTTCACCATCGGCGGTTTCCGAAAGGTTTGTGGGGTCTCCACTCAAGATACGAAAATTCCACGTGGAATCGCCTTTTTCCAACAGCGTGCATTTGACTCCGCCATTAAAGCATACCACCTCATTCACCCTTGACTTGACGCCTTTTCGGATAGGGAAATTTCCGATAGCCTTCCACTGCAACAGGTTATCAAAAATGAAAGCACACACACACACACACAGCACTTCATGGACATGCTAATGACAATAGAGAACACTGAAATATCACGAACCAGGATTTTGTGACTTCGGCAGTAAATATTTTAAAGGGGGAAGGGCACCGATTTTTCAAGTAGGGTCCAGAAGAAAGACAATCTGATATTGGTCCGAATGGCTTGTTGCTAAATCGCCAATAGTATGATCACGTTGCCATAGCGACCAGGACAGTGATGTCGCATGTTCTGCTTAGTTCCGTGAGAGAGAAGGTGGATCGCTACAGAATTTGGTCATTTTCAATTGTCTTATTGTATTCACGATGTGAAAGAAGTGCCGCGTTCAATGCTGTTAGGGCCGTGAACTGTTTATTAGTAGTCCTCTTCGTTGTGTCCTGGGACGTGATACCGACAGGAGACACCAGCAGACAAGCGAAAATAGTGACGAACAAAGTGCTAAAATCTTGGTTGGGATAAATCAGACGTTCAGCATTTACCCCAACCAAGGACCATGCCGTTAGCTCTTTACGATTCCTGAAGATGGATGTGATGCTTCCTGGCGACTCTCCTATCTCTCGTAAGTATTTGTATTTTGTATTGCATTGCTAAATTTTACTTGGGCATTCCCAAGAGATCCTTTAAAGTCTTCTTACAGGGTGCCCAAGATGAATGAAATAATGGTGTGCAAGGGTAGCCGGGTACCCGTGCTACCCGTGAGGATCTCGGGTAGACGGGTACAGGATAGCACGCGAAAACCCGAAGTCGCAGATGACATCATGTACCGGGCACGTGTACACATTCATGCAATACTCCGCATGCCTACCCAGTGTGTAAGGGAAGAGGTGCATTGTGGTGTTACCATGGAAACATTTCGCGATCGGGTACCCGTCACTACTAAAGAGTTTGTAAAGGCACGTTTGTCTGGGGTGAAGTCGGGGGTTCATAAAGTCACGTTTGGCTGGGGTGAAGTCGGGGGTTCGCCCCGTACGCTGCATTTTGCATGGCAAGATAATTTTGGAACATGGAAAAAATGGGTCTCTGGGTAACTGTGTTTCCCATGCCCGGCCCCCTGCTATTTTGACCTGGCTAGAACCCTGACATATGCATGCTCGTACGCGAACTGGCTAATCGGTCATGCATACCACGTGACCAATCACAACCAAGCTTTGGAAAGGATTCGATCGTATGACGACCTGGGAATAGTAGACAGAACATCGCGAGGGTCCTGACTCCTGAGCTAGCGGCTCTTTCATTTCATATCTGTGTGTATATTGTGTACTTGTGCGTATGTTGGTGCATGCATACGTTCGTGTGTGTGAGTACGCGTGTGTGTGTGCGCGCACGCACGCGCGCGCGCGCGCGCGCGCGCGTGTGTGTGTGTGTGTGTGTGTGTGTGTGTGTGTGTGTGTGTGTGTGTGTGTGTGTGTGTGTGTGTGTGTGTATGCCGGCTACCCCAGCAAGTGTACGGTGTGCATAGGTAACTGTCGCGACCATCCTTTGTGTGGTGTAGACCAGGTGTGCAGTGTCAGTGTGTCCCCTTTGAATGAAGCATATAGTAGTGGACATGACTCCCAACCAAGTCACAAGTGACTCGATGTTTTTCTTTCCAACTGGGTCCAAATACCCCCCCCCCCCCCCACACACACACACCCCAAACCGGGTGGCTAAAGTTTACTATAAACTATCATGACTCAGCAGAAACTGAAAGAAGAATTGCAACCTTGATCCCGAATCCACCAGGGCAATTACATGGACAAGAATATTTTTAGGAAACTTTAATTCTCAACTCCAAACTCCAAAAACGGTCTCTTCACAGCGTTTCAAAAATAAAATTTCATTACACCAAACTCACAACGGCCGCGGGGAGCCCCAAGACATACAATATTCACTAGTTTGAGGGGAAGACACAAACGGGAAAGGTCTGAAGAAAACATTTGACGGTCCCCATCAGGATTCGAACCAGGGACCTTCGCTTGTAGCCAGCGATGCTCTAACTATTGAGCTAAGGTGTAGCCGTCATCCCAGCAGAGATCGTTCAACATTTTCTTCAGACTTCGTAACTCACACCTCCTGTGAATCCACAGAGGCGCGTGGGACGCAGCCCTCGCAGCAACCCACTGTAAGAAAGAAGTTGTGTTTGACAGTGATTGCCTCCGGGGCCAGCTACTACAATTGCATGCAAAGTGCGTAGCATTCCCACGTGTATTCTAACACAAATTACAAAATCATGTACTAGTAAGACTGCGTTTACACGGCAACGATTTGCGTTTACACGGCAACGATTTGCGTTTACATGGCAACGATTTGTGTTTACACAGCAACGATTTGCGTTTACACGGCAACGATTTGCGTTTACACGGCGACGATTTGCGTTTACACGGCGACGATTTGCGTTTACACGGCGACGATTTGCGTTTACACGGCAACGATTTGCGTTTACACGGCGACGATTTGCGTTTACACGGCAACGATTTGCGTTTACACGGCAACGATTTGCGTTTACACGGCAACGATTTGCGTTTACACGACAACGAAGTACCACCGTATCGTACGGAAAATATTCAAACCAAGTGCACAAACCGCGTTCATGAGCTAGCCAGCTCAAACCAGCGTGTTCCTTCCCGCCCTTGCGCCAGGCCAGCACGTCCCAACCCCAACCAGACCACCCGTTTTCTGTTTTCGTGTAAACGGTTCAAAACGATTTCCCGGTCTCGTGTGAATGGTTTGAAAACGATTCGTGGGCAGCGCGTTTTGGTTCCGTTCGTTTCGTTTCGTCTCCGTGTAAACACAGCCTAGGGACAACTGCACAATATGTACACATTCAAACAGAGCTGCAGACACGAACTGCACAAATGTATAAGTACAAGCTCTAAAGGGATGATGGGGGGAGGGAGGGAGGGGGAGGGGGAAAGGGAGGCGGGAAGGGACATGTCCTGCGCTAGAAGATTTGTTCGACTATCTGCTATATTTGTGGCGTCAGCGCCGAGTGATGGCCCTGGTCTTCCGGGATGCTGGCGTGGCCAAGCGACACCGCCCCAGGAACTCCTCTAAGGTAAGGCTATGTTGGCTTGATGGAGTTTGCTAGTACCTTGTACGTGTACACTGTCCCGTGGCTCGTTTTCAGACCAATATATCAAGACATATTTTTAGCCATTCTTGAGGGTACGCAAGTTTTTTCCAAGGTTTCCTTTAGAACACTCTTCAAGGGCTTTGCACAGTCGATCTACACTCCCAAACGAAACCTACCTCAAAAATTTGAGCGATATTCGGGAGGTTGACATGCCATGCGTGCAAGACAAGTAAGTGGCCGCAAACGTGTAGTTCCACGGCTTGTGACTTTTCCCACTTGTCGTGCACTATCCTGCGCTGCACTGCACTGTAGTAAGTCGTGCAGGAGAATACAATGTCGAGGCAGCGCGTGAACGCAAAAACTGCCAAGGACTTGGCAAAAAATACAAAGATCTCCTTCGAATTTCAGCCGAAAGATCACTCTAGGGAGAACGAAAAAGACGCGTGACGTTATCAGGCAGGATTCGTGCCCAGAGGACGTATTATACACGAAGAAGGAGCACAACACAGCTGACAAACTATACTGGGACAGTAATCCCTATTTATCCCATGACGCGTACTGTGAGTCAACAAATATTCGGCGTATATTTATTTTCGGCTATTTTCGGCCTCATCATATTTGGCCGAAAATTTGCTGCAGCCGAAAAATTCGTTTCGCAAGGTTCAGTGTGACAGTGTATACAGGCAGCAGCAGTACAGGCCGAACATTTGTTGCGGCCGAAATGGGTTTTAGCCCCTGGGAGGCCGAGAATTGAATGTGCCGAAAATGTGTGGACTTACAGTACAGACTTCATGCTCTGATTGGAAGCATTCTCCATGGCGACTAAAGAGTGACGTCATTAGCGTTCAATGGGTTAAAAGGCTGACTTGCCATTAATAGCCATGTTCAGAAACATTCTAGACACGCGCGAATTACATGTACATTTTAAAAGCTCACCTTGGCTTTTGGAAGGGCTTGGCGTGTTCCCGCCGGCGGTCGACCAAGAAGAAGTGAGCAGCGAACAAACCAACCTGCCTCTCCTTTCAGAGATGCAAGATGCAACAGCGATTCTCTCACCCTTTGCGCGTCTGCTGATTCGGTACTAGCGCTGAGCTCTGGGGCTGCACCCCGCCGCATCAGCAGTTCGTCCCTTTCCGCAAGCAGGACCGTCCGATCCTGAACAGCAAGCTGAGCCGCGGTCAGCTGCTCTTGATTGGTATGCAGCAATTGATCTCTCTCCGCTAACACGGCCGTCCGATCCTGCTCAGCTTGCTGAGCCGTGACCAGCTGCTGTTCAGCATCACGCAGCAGTTCGTCTCTTTCTGCCAACAGGGCCGTCCGATCCTGCAAAGCTTCCAGAGCCGTGGCCCGCTGCTGCTGAGCGTCACGCACCTGCTCTTCACGCTCCTGCAGCTCCTGACGCAGACGGGCAATCTCGGCTTGGTCGGGAGACGGCTCACTTGTGTTTATCTGCGTAGCTCCAGCTGTTGAACTGCTGGCTGCAGGCTGCTGCTGCCTGCGTATGATCTCAGTCATTGCTCCGAAACTATCACAAATGTAGGCTGCGGTGGGACGCTCAGCAGGATCCACTTTCAAACACCTGCTGATGATGTCATGGAACGGATGATCAGATCCAAGATCTTGGAGATCTCTCACTCTTCCCTCGCGTGCCAGTGTGTAAATGTTGGGAGGCTCCTTGCCTACACACATGGCCAGCAGGCACACAGCAAACGAGTAACAATCGGCCGGAGTACCGTACTGCGTCCGGCCAGGCTCATTGGATGCACGCTGGGTCTCTGGTGCCATGTACGTTTGTGCTCCAGGGTTTATTGTCATCATCTGCGCCTGTGTCCTGTCATCCAGCTCTGCAGCTCCACCAACGTCTGTAATCTTTGCCTTCAGCTGTACATCCCCAGCTTCAACCACCTCACACAGCATTATGTTGTTGGTCGTCAGATCCCTGTGGATGATACTGCGACTATGCAGATAATCCAAAGCAGAAGATACACCTAGAGCGATGCTGCATTTTTCCAACAGCGATAACGCTGGCTGAACGCTGCAACGTTTACGCAACGTCTGCGAAAGACACTCCATGACCAATCCAGGTGTGTCATGAGGTCCAGTCGCTGCCACCATGCCAAACACCTGAACAATGTTGGGATGCGGCAACTCCTTCAACATCGGAAACTCTTGCAGAAATCGTCGATAGAACTTCGAGGACTGCCCATGTTCGTCGAGGACGAGCATGGGGTGGTGTCGTTTTATCGCTACAGGTGTGCCACGCCAATCCCCTGAAAACACCACTCCGTACGCACCTAGTCCTAAGACTTGCTCGGCCTGGTCCACGCCACGTAGCAAGTACTGGTATGGGACTAGGTTCTGGGCGAAGACCTGGCTCTGCTGGCCCGAAGAGCTGGCCATTGGGAACGACTCGAAAGAGAACTGCTAGTTACATCGCCATAGCCGAAGAGCTCTCATTCATTGCCCAGTTTGCTCCTTTTTTTTCGTTGAGTTGTGCTGTGGTCATCCATACGATACGAGCGCTGAGCATGTGCATGTGAGGCTCCGCGATCCGATTTCTGTACCGGGCCGGCACTAGGCACTAGGGTCTAGGCACTACTGCGCGAAGGTCTAAAGCCAAGGGATGGACCGTCACTTAATTTTTGCCGACTACCCGCCAAAAAAATCTTTTCGTTTCACGTGTCAGACACGTCCGCGAGCGCGTAGATCTACGTACGACTCGGTACCGGTCACGGGTGTTTCGCAGCGGCCACTCGTCAAGATGGTGGCAAATCCGAGAGTACAAAAATTTCGACTCTGGCTATGTTCGCGGCGGATGCGAATCTCGCACGTGCATGCAAAATCTAGCCTTCTGCAGATCTGGATAGAGCAAGTGTACGTGTGTGGGAACGACGACTTTTTCCGAGAGAGAATGTGGCTCTTTTCATCCCAACATTTTACTCGCCACGCTCTCCCTCCCAGCTTATTGATACGAGTATCTGCTACCGAGTAGAAGTCTCCATCTTCACAGTAGGCCAGGCAAAATCGCAACGTTGAAATACTTTGCTCACTTGGTGTTTTTGGTCCTTTGAGATGATGTGGCTGTTGTGTACAACTCGAAGTGACAAACTTGAGACCCCCGCGCCACAAAAAACTAAGGCGCGCCACAAAGTTTCGTTTGGCTATTCAATGAAAGGATGTATGGAAGCAGGGATAAAAACTATCGTGGCTGCCGGCAAAACTCCTGGTAATGTAAGAAACGGGGTGTGACTTTGGTAATTCCAAGGAGAATGTACGCACGGCCATTCCACAACGAAGACGAAACTACGAGCTCAAAAACACTCCGATTTTCAAACAAACGACGCAGGAAAGAAGACATGGCCGCAGTGTTCCCGTTCCCGGCCGTGTGGTCTTCAAAACACCTAATTTTACTTCGATAGCGGCTGGTTCAGGGCAAATTCAGGCCCAATTCGACAGCGTCGTACCTCTCAGATTCGCCCAAAACACGAGGAAATGTACGGTAGATCCAAATGCGTACGCATTTTGCGTACGGGGACGACTGGCCAGAGTTCATGCACTGCAAACACCCGTGCGGTATACCTTTCACGTCAAGCAATCTGTTCACGCCACATGGCTGGATAGCGCGTACATACGTGTACATGCAAACATGATTGAACTTGAAGACTATAAAATTATAATAATTATTTTTACAAGTCCATATAGGCCTAGCGCCTAGGCATGCATGGCAGTACTAATGCCTAATGGCAGCTGACTTTATTTTCGGAGAAACACTACAGTGCGTTTTTTTATAATAGACTCTGAAAACCTTGAGAACGTACTCAAGGACACTTTTGAGAAAATGTCATGCGAGTTGCGTCACGAAAATCTGCGCGCGAAATTCGAAAAACCAGGTGTGACTCGTGGCATTTCGCCATCTTGTTCAGAGTGTCCTTCGAGCTCCTTGCCTCGTAGCCGGAGGAATCATTTTGTTGCTGACTGCTCTGTGGCCCTATTTTGCTTTTTCTCGAGTGTCTTTTCGTTCGTGGCAACTTGTTCTCTCGACATGCCACATAATTATAACAAAACGCGAACGGGCCATGGTACATGGTGGTGTCTGTTTTACAATTTTTTGCGAAGACGAGGAGAACAATGGCTGGGCATCGAATTGGTCCCAAGTATTCCATTCGTCATGCTGCTGTTGCGTGTGGCGTCAGCATTTCCACCATGAACAGATGTACCAGGGATGCTGACGGCGAAAATCAGCGTGCTGCGTTGGCCTTGTCTGTCTCCAGTGATCAAAGCAACGAGAGTGACAATCCCCGATGTGAGACTCGTGCCATGAAACCACTCAACCCTGACGGATTTGCTTTGGACTGTATAAGAAGTAATTTACGGATTCTATGCTGCGAAGGAGGACCCAACACTGGACAAAGTTCCTGCTCGCTGCAGAGAAACCATCGACGATTTTCCAGACATGAGCAAAACTAGCTCTTGGAAAATGTTGCGTTCCATGGGATTCCAGTGTGGCAAGACCACAGGTATCACACAAATAATGATGGAACAGCACAGGATTGTGTCATGGCGGCATCGCTACCTAGTACCTGTGAGACATACCTGGATGAGACGTGGGTCAATGCGCGTCACACAGTTACTAGGAGGTGGTTCGACAATGGTGACAGGAGTGTATAGGCAAGCAACCAAATGAAGCACCATCAGGTAAAGGCAAGCGCGTTATTGTTCTGCATACTGGTGGACGGGACAGATTCGTGAAAAACTGTGCCGATGTGTTCGTGACTGGAGGCCGGCGCCAACGATGATATACGTCGTCGGCTGTCCGAGCACATCTGTTCACTGTGTAATACTGTCGTCACAAGTGCAACACAAAACACGGAATTATTGGGGCCGTTTCGTTCCTCGCTGGTCTACTATTCGCAGATGTTGAACCAGACACAACTGTGACCTATTTGCATTGTGTGTGTGTGTGTGTGTGTTTGTGTGTTTGTAAAACTGCTCATGCTTCCTTTTTGTTAGTCTCTTTATGGGAGCTGTGTGAATTGCCTTTGTGATTTGTTGTGGTGTTTGAATTTTCACTGCATTCTTTCAGGGATCGAGGGAAGTTTCCTACATGCATGCTGGAATGTTTTGATGTATTGAGCTAATTGCAATACAGGATTTGAATTATTCAGTACAGTTTGCCACAATAAGTCGTGAAAAGCCACGGACTCACTGGTTTACTACAAAGGTTAGGAGAACTGCAGACAGCAGTGCACAACTGCACAGCCATATGGCCATGTGCATGTACATGCATGCGCTGTACTACAGTATACCGAAAAAGAAAAGAAAAAAAAGAATCAAGATGAACTGTACTGGATTCGAACTCATGCCGGGCACCATGCAAGTGATGAGCTTTCCTGGCTAAAACTTCCGTTTAAAAAATCAAAATCCACTGAAAACCATTTAAAACCGGATTTCCAGCCGAAACCCGGCCGAATATCTAACTTTGACAATTATTATTATTCCGACTCCCAAACTTAATTTTCTTCGATCCAAGACCCACACAAACGCAGCTGTGAAGAAAAAATTTCAAATTTGGAATGAGAACAAACTAAAAAATCAAAATCGACAATGGTCTGTTATAAAAAAACGCACTGTAGCACTACTCATTGCAGTAAAAAGTAACAATGAATAGCGATATCATCTAGGAAGGATCGCTACCCTAACGCGAAGGAAAGGCCTTGCGCGGCTGCTCTACGAAGTGTTGAAGAAAGACTCAAAGTTAGTTGGTGGACGAACAACTCGCTGGTGCCGGAAAACTTGGCCCCCAACGATGGTGTTTGGTGAATAATCAAGCATAATGTCTTGTAGCAGTGTTCACCGAGGAAGGAGAACGCTCTAGCCGCTGCTGTTGTCCGTTTCATCCACGTTGGGCGTTAGCTGCAATTTACTTCACACAGCGTTGTATTGTCCACGAGCGCAAACTTCATTATCAGCAGTACCATGAGTACTGCCTAGGCCTAGCGCCTGGACTTGTAAAAATTAATTTTGCAAGTCTTCAATCATGTTTGCATGTACGCGCTATCCAGCCATGTGCATGTGGCGTGAACAGATTGCTTGACGTGAAAGGCAGCGAGTCGTAGATCTACGCGCTCGCGGATGTTTCTGCACTTGCTGACTGGTTGCAGACCCTCGGTCTCATTCTGAATGCAGCCAAGAGCCAAGTCATCCCTGTATACCCCAACATGCAGCCTCAGCAGCCCCAGCACACGATCAATGTAAACTGTCATGAAAGGCCGATTCCTGTCATTACTGCGGCCAGGTATCTTGGAGTGCTCCTCGACTCGGATCTGTCATGGACGCCCCATGAGGGCCATGACCAATGTTGATCGCTGCACCGCTCGACTGGCCCAGAGGATCGGAGCACTATGGAGGTTGCGTCGCTGCTTGACTCATCAGAGCCGAGTTCTCTACTTTAAAGCGATCATCATGTCTGACCTGATGTACGGATCCAATGCGTTCTCCCCACTTCTTACTGCCAGCCTATTGGATCGGCTACAAGTCATGCAGAATCGGGCGGCAAGGGCGGTTTTCGGACTCTCGCATCACACCTCCGCCCGCACCCTCCTGCTGAAATTGGACACATACAGATTATCCGAGATATTCAGGCAGAAGTTTATCGTTCTTGTCTGGAGGTCTCGGAATGGGCACGCAAGTTCTGATCTGCAAGCCCTCCTAGTTCCTTCGTCAGCTGACCCTACTAGGTTGCACTCCACCATGGGTCTGCGCCAACCGCCAGTTTGCGCCAGGTTCGGCAAGGGTTGCCTCGCGTTCCGGGGCGCCCAGCTGTGGAACATCTTACCCAGCGATATACGTGCCATCACCACGCTCCGCCAGTTCCGCGCCAGCATGATCCCGCACACCCTTAGTACCTAGAGTACCAAACGTCCTGTTTGATGATCAGCTGGCTTAGTTTCTCTCCACCTCTATCTCTACTACATGTACATCCCTCCCCACTGATTTCATTAATTACTGCTTTCGATCTGCATTCGCCACCTTTTCATTGGGCAGATCTGCCCGTTTGGTTTGCGAATTAAAATAAACACAACAACAACAACAACAACAACAACAACAACAACAACAACCAACTACAACAACAACAACAACAACAACAACAACAACAACAACAACAACAACAACAACAACAACAACAACAACAACAACAACAACAACAACAGATCGTGCAATCCAACCACGTCTCCGCTATACCCAGCACGTCGAGCTTAAGTTCTACCATCATCGATTCAAGGGCATCGATCTTGTGCCGGAGGCTGCATGCGTTAACCCTTTGAGAGCCGATTGGAAATTTCTTAATGAAGCCTATCTTTAAGGGAAGCGGGGGGCTGCATAGTAGCACGAGGGAAAAAGGGATCAGTGGTAGTGGCTCTACAGGACAGGGCATGATGTGTGTGTGTGCACGTGCGCGCGTACGCGCGTGTGTGTGCGTACGTGTGTGTGGTGTGCGTGTGTGTGTG